TATTTCCTCTACTCTACCTGTATGCAAGTATAGAACCTCCAGATGTTTGGGAACATAGGATATGGATCATGAACACTAAGTTCAAGTTGAATATTCAGAAAGAACAAGATATCATTGAGGCCTAGATTGTGCTATGCGTTTTGCTGTGGAGAGACTTTCATGACTCCTAATGATTTAATGCTTTAATCCTGGGCCGGTGATAACTTGGAATGTTTTGATTATGAACATAAGGTTGAAGGCTCACAAGAGGTCCTTTTTTTGCCAGAGAATCCAATACTGAATGATAGTTGATGATTATGCCACTCCTAACCCCAGGCCACAGGCCTAGTATATATGATCTGATGCATCCAATTGAATGCCAGCAAACTAGACAAACTCTGCACTTACCGCATAGCAGACTCGAGATTCATACTGTTTGCATCCTGAATACTCACTTACCTGACATTCACTAACCTGTTATAGGATATATAAATAACATCTAAACAAGATATGCAGTCAGCCAATTCCCAGAGTGGGAAATCTGAATGGACATAGACACGATGCCCAACTCGACAGAATGGGATTTGGAAAGTTGATATTAGCAACACAACCGAACAACTCTGACAGATCGCTAAGTACACTATTGAACCACTAGTCATCAGGTCGAACTCCGTCTCCTCCACCAATTGCTAGCACACAATTAGGAAGACCTCTAAAATGTCCTTGGAATGCCACCATACAGAGCACTGCGTATACCAAACCTGAGATAGAACCTGCAGGGCAAAGAGCTACAGAAACACTTTATCTTAGCGTGGATAGCAGCAATGAATACTAAAACTTGTAGGTATCAGATAAATGGAATCGGATACTAAACCCAATCCCTAAGATATTAATATTCCCAATAGCTCTGGCCTACAACGGTCTAATGAGTCTCAAGCACTTAACAGACACCAAAATAATTGCATACCAAAGGTCCAGATTTCCACCATCTCTGGAATACAATATGCCAATCCTCCAGGGGAGAAACCAGGACCTCATGGGCAAATAATTCGCAGCAGGCCTTACAGTCCTGCTAGATTCCCACCATCCAGCATTCCACGATTCTCATTACCACTGGGTGGCAGGAGTGATCATACATCTGATATCTGGAGTTCTTGTCCTACCAGTTGTCCTGCCACGCTGTAGCCAGACAACTTGTTATCAAGTAAGTCACAGGGCAACGTAGTAACAGGGACAGAAGGCGTAATATTAAGCTGAGTAAAGTCACTCATTCTGGAGTACACACAGTTCAAGGACCCACTCCCAAATGCTATTGCATTGACCGGTCAGGTGCTCAAAGTCTAGAAGGACACTGTGGAAGGGCAGAGACATACTGAAGATGTTGGACCATCAGAGCAGTTCATATATCAGGTAAGACCTCTTGGCCAGGCATGATAGCATGCAATATGCACTATCAAACCAAGATACCCCAAAAACACTCAGGGGTGCAATCTCAGTTCATATACCATGTGAAGAATTACATTGTCAAGTTATACAAACTACAGGAGGATCTGACAGCGATGTCGAGTAGGGTGGATTATCTGCTGAAACAAGATATGCTTTTTTGTGATCCAAAAGTGTATGAGATTCATTAACACCTGGTAACAACCCCATAGTGACCACTACTGATCATGACTAACACTAATAAAGAACCTGACATTGCAGTTCGCTATGCCATAAATTCCAGAGGCGAATTACAGCAAGTCTTTCGCAGGAAAGAAAATGCGTAAGATTGTTGATCCCAAGTTTCTTAGGTGGATCAAAGGCACTATGATCTGCTTGATGAGCGCTATAATCTGTCATACACTGCCAGCGTAGAAATCACGAATCTATTACGAGCAAAGGGACTTCCAGCCCAAGGCAGTTAGAGGTAAGATTCCGGCACTGTCATAATACATGATTCATGACCAAGGTACTAACTTGTTACCAGATACCAAACACCTTTCTTGTACAGCAGAAAAAAACATGGGCAAAGTGCCTACCGGGTGTCCAGGACATGATTGTTAAATACATGTGGCAGACAATCCAGAAGATAGTTGAGCAGATTTAAGTCGTATAGCAAGACCGCCATGAGGGGTATAATGATAATGGGGGTGCTCACGGCACAGACCTCGAGGGTCAAATAAGTGACCAGATCCCCTCACTGCCAGTGCCACATCAGATCAAGCTGGACCGCTTTGGCCTAGAGGAGTGCTAGGAAAGTCCAGTACTGTCACAAGAAACAGACACTTGGTTTAATTATAGCCAGATGTCGATTGCCCAAGTGCTGGGACTTCTGGTCCCAGATCCAGCTAGTCCTAGATATTCACCGGAGGGCAGTTTAAGATTGATGACCAGGTGCCTGATAAGTGATTCTTGGCCTGGTCGCCTGTCGCTCAGCATCAAGGAATCCGAGGAAGGCCAAGGATCATGGATGGGATTCGGTGATTGGCAGCCAGACGTTAATGAGCGGGAGCCCAATTAGGGTCACCCTGGGTACTTAATGGAGATTACGGATGTGTAAATATCACTTTTAATAGATATCTTTTTCCGGCTAAGCTGATGTGCGGTATCAGCAGTGAAGAGTGTATAGTAGATAAATGGAGGCATATAGGAAAAGAAAATTGAATGCAATATTCAATTGTACTAGTAGAATTGAGCACGACCAAAATGTAATACATAAAAATATCTGCAGGAAGGTGGGAGGATTAAAGGAAAGGGGGTGGCACTGGGGATGGGTCAGGAAGAATTTGGTGCGTGCTGAAGGCATCCAGAGAATGTCTGGATGACTGATAGTACAAACTGGATGAGAATCTGGGAGCAAGGGGAATGTCCCAGTGAGGTGAGTTGTAGGGAGAAAGACTCCAGATGTAGAAGGGGAATATCATGGTATCTAGATAGTACGGAAGTGTGAGATAGTCCAGATATTGGAATGCAAGGCAAATAATATCATTTTGGAACAGGCGAGCCGGAGATATAGCCCAGATGAAGCCACGGTGGAACAATGTTATCCTGACGCAGGCAGCCTGTTTAGACGTCATCCCAATGCAGATAAGCAGGGGTCTTACTTCCACCAGACACATGCTGGGAGGATCAGAGGTTGTCTGGACGTAAATGCCAGGGTGTGGGGTATTGTCATGACAAAGAGGACTTAGTGCTCCGTGTTAGGAAATCTTCAGGATGTGAGTTGGGAGGCAAGGAAAGTCCAGATGCAAGGTCCAAGCGACGTCACATCCTGATTCGCTGTTCACATTTTGCATATCCTGTTCTTCAGACACACAGGATGCAAGTGATATGGGTAATTATTTTTACTAATATATAGTGACAAACTATATATGGGTAGGCAGTTTACTGATTAGTTAGACTTCTGATTGGCATGACTGTTTGCTACCAACATTCCTATGATATGAAAAATCTTTACTCCTGTGGGTGCATTTGAGATGTCACAGCTAAAGTACTTCAGCCTTGAAAATGTTAAAACACTACAGAGTAGTCTGGTCTATTATAGATAGTCTTTAAACCAATCATAGTAGTAGCTAAAGTAGTCAATTGATGTTGAATACTCAGGAATGGAGGGTAGTGATTGGGAGGAGCTAGTAGTATATAATATCTAATTAAGTATATGCAAGTTCTCTACTTAGATAATTAAGTTCCACTTGAGACTAAGGAACTGATGGACTGAAGCTGTACGCTTAATAATATTAAGTTTTACTGTCTTATTTCTTCAACTCTATTACTAAGATGTTAAGACTTTTGTTTTATCTTTATCTTCTAAAGAATTCATTTTAGTACAGTTACAATCTTGTGATCTATCTTTCCTTATGGAGTACTCATTATGTTAAAACTTATCCAGGATGGGGCTTGAAGACTCACCATAGGAAGTACTACTGCTGAGCTTCTGAAGAGAGAAACTGTAGTTATCTATTAGTCTTCTTTCTCTCCTAAACTAATCCCTATTGAGTTAGTATGGCATATTATAAAAAATTATCTACAAGATAACTTTCTAGAGAATATGTCCTATAATATATTACAGGATGCAGTCTATGAAACTTGTAAGATGGTTGGAGAGCATGAATTTCAAGATCTAAGAGAAGGTGTGCCCACCCCATGTCAGTTATTTCTTCTGACCAATGGCCTCTTGATAACATATTAGTAAACCTCTATAACTTTCATTCCAGTTGTTTCCTCAGGCCTTTAGCATATAAACTATACTACTATACCTGATTTGTTCCCCTGCCAGCAGCAAACTCCTGCTAGCAATGTCTAAAAATCTTATATACTATACCTCCATATGAATTCTTATTTTACTACAAAATGATAATAAATTACCAAACCCTTCATCTAGGAATAAACCTTAATAGTGACACTTAATTGCTTGTAACACAATATTGAAGGAGTAGTAGCAGATCCATTCTCTCTATTCATTGCAGATAAATCAATTATAGAGATATTTGAAATACTTCACCCTGCGATTATTCCTTATTTAAATAGTGGTAAATTATTCCCTGTTTCTTTCTCTCTCTTTGTTTTTTTTTTTGACTCCGCACCACTGTATCGTTGTCTCGTACAGAAACCTCTTTGACAGGAGCATGCAGTGTAGCAGGGGTGGTTAGCCCCGCATTCCTCCGTTTCAAGTGCTCTAAGCTCACTTATGGAGTATGATTGTCACAATCGCAGACACCTACCTATACGCACGCTGTAACTTGCGCTATCTCGTCAACCCAACATAAGGATAGCAAGCGTTTATTATAGAACAGGGGGTAAGGACGGCCTACTCGGGTACCAATAACATCGATTTTGTAAAATACAATTATTTGGGAATTGACCCGGAAGCTCCAATCCGTATACAGATATAAATTCCCGAAATGAGATACAATAAGGCCCATCCGTAGGCTCGGCACAAAATATGATATCGGTAAGCGGAAAATATAGCTTCAGAACCACACCGCTCGTTGGTAAACTAAATGGTTTCTTAACAACCTCAATTGGTAAAGAGCAGAATATCAACTTGCCATAGCCCTATGATCCATTCGAGAATTAAAATACACTATGCCACTTATCTGCGATACTCCAGCTCCGGAAGTAAACGGGGGGTGAGACGAAGCAAATAAAATGTGATAAAAGAAGTAACAAGGAAACTACGAACGCCATGACATAATCGAACATCTAGTTTTACAGATCCCCTCTCCCAAGTTTATGGAATACAACTAGAAAAATGAAAGACGAAAAACATCCACCCCAAGGAAACAACCCAGCCAGCCAGACACAGGTAGTGTCAACCACCACCGGGAGGTTTAACAGAAGTGACTTGAAAGAATGTCTTTTCACGTTCCTCCTTCTCCTTCTCCATTCTTTCCTTTTCCTTCTTTGTGAGACGAGGTTTCCTGATGGTAGGACCTCGTGCAGCCGCCGTGCCACGAGTGGTACCGCCACGCCCACGCCCGCGTCCTCTCTTTACGGTGCCATCGGCCCTATTTAACCATGTCAGTAAGAAGGATATTGCGAGTCAATGCCAAGGATTAGTTAGTTAACCTTTCAATTTGGGGTTTCTCCCCCTCCGGGACTAAGGGGCCACTGTAGACGAAGAAACCGTCCTTTGAGGCGGCAGCTTGCTCTTCCCAAAGCATCTCGGTATCGTCAATGAAGGGGTCGTTTTTGTCATAAATGTCTTGATGCCTTCTCTTTTTTCGCTTCCCACCTTCGGAGTCCATCGGCTTATCCATTTCAATATTCGACTCCGATTCCGAGCCATCAACCATCATCTCATCACCACTGTCCCCTTTCATCATATTTTCCCTAGCTCTCGCGAGCTTTGGGTTCAAAGCTGCCCATCCGTAACGCTCCTCCGCCAGTTTAGCAAAGTTAACATATTTGTTGTGCTCCCCATTGAGAGGAACATGAATATAAATGTTGGGGATACATGCTTCGCTAGTAGCAGCAGTCGTACCTGGTAAAACACCCGATAATAATCCATTGCCAGAGGTCGAAGGCAGAGACGGTCGGGGTTTGGGAGATGCAGCTGCAGAAGAAGGAGCTGTACCATTTTTCGATTTCGGCGATCGGTTTAGTGAATCCCCCACCTCGCCGGATCGCGGCAATTTCTCTACCCTCACACCATTTCCGACAGCAGTGTCCGAAGCGAAGGACGAATTGAATTGCTTGTCGGACGATAAGGCCGCGGCATGAGGTTCGGTTAGTGGCTGCGGGTCGATCAGCGAGGATATAGAAGGCGACGCGGAAGCACGATGGCCGGATTTAGCAGTGGATCCACTCCTAACAGGATCGAACGGTTGGCCGAGGAGAGATCTATTCCTTGCTGAAGGGGCGATAGATGAGTTCAATTTTCCCGAGGCGCTATTTGGTTCCGTGTCGCTATCAAGCTCAATAATTTCTTGACGTGGGCGCGATGGCCCCGTATGCGGTGCTGATTTTTTGCCGTTATGGTTGTTGGTGATGCGGCCCGAAGAGTCGACCACATCTTGTGGAAATTTTGGTTGACGATGGAGTGGTGACGAGGTTGACAAGGGATGGTTGTTGGTGTGGGTACCTCTATTTGAATTATTTGCTGACTTGTCGGAAACATTACCAGCGGTTGGCGAGGCGGGTTTAGATGAAGGCGACGATTGAACACCACGAGTCATGGCTGAGGGACTCCCAAACGTGGACATCGCGAGAATTTTCGATTTGTAATTTTATTACTCTGAGAGATGCCAGGATGGGGTTACCCCAGCCTGTTGAATAAAGGCTCTAACACGAAAAAATACCTCCAGGAGAATTTTGGAGCTTTCCTCTTCTTTCGTTGGGAACAGAAATGATGGGCGGAAGTCGAGAGGGAGCTGGCGATGATTGTGAAGGGTGAAGAAGGGAATGTGAATGGGGAAATTAGATGTGAGTGTTTAAGGGAGGGTAAAGATGAGAGAACAAGAAGCGCGAAGGAATTTGTGCGGAATAGGGAGGAATAGGGAACGAGGAGGGGGTGTTGGAAGTTGTTTTGATCGCAGAAGAATAGAGAAGACGAGGAAGAAGGGGAAGAGAAGGAGAAGAAGGAGAGGAATAGAAAGACAAAGAGCTAGAGAAAGGAGATGGAGAAGAGAAAAGAGACCGAGGGCTGCGTGGCCAGAATGTGGACTTTTTCAGAACGTCAGAAGCTTTTCAACCAACAGTCATTTGGCTTTCATGGGAAAAGAAAGATTAATTTGCAATCATGGCAACAGAAGAGGGACTAGGAAGTAACAGCAGCTTCTGTTTCTGCTGTAAGAATGGGTGGAATGGCGGTTGTGCGTGCTAGGTTATGGGCAGCAACCGCCGCGGACAAGAGAGCAACTACAGAGAATGGAGAAAGAGAGGGAACGGGATTGTGTGTGCAACGAGAATGGTAGACAGGCAGAGCAGGGCGGAAGGAGAGGAGGGTTTGAGTTTAGTTAGTAAGTTAGTATTTTTATGTATATGCGCTTCACGGTGAGGTATATAAGTGCACAACTCGCCTCCCTCGTTTTACTTTTCCCTCATTCATTCGAACTCCCCGCTGACCCTTTGTTCACACACTCCCTTCTAACGCGTTCCTAAAGGTGGTGGTTGTGGTGCTGATGGTTCTGGTTGTGGTGGTGGTGGTGCAATGGTACCTCTGCTTGTGGTTGTGGTGCGGTCGAGGTTGAGTGGAACGAGTCCTATCCTTGAGCTAGAGGCTCCTCTCGCCCGCCGCGACTACCGGTACGGTTTTCTACCGCTGCCGCTTGCCTACCTGTACCATACACTACCAGATACGTAGATGCACTGGTCTCTTTCTTCCCCATCAAGAACAATAAAACATCTCGCCCCACTACCTCTCACACTTATCTATCCATCAAATCTGATGGATGAGATATACATACTTCCAATCAAAAACAAAAAAGCCTCCATGTTATGGTTAAGATTACCGCAAACCTAAAATGCCGGTAGCTTTTCCAGAAAACCCAATCTCTCCTGGTTTACCCGGGATGGCGCCTACGCAGGCCCTGGGAAAAAGGGGGGGGGACCCCTAGCCTTAAGTCACGAATCGTGGTGGCTATCAATGGCTTCCATCCTCTGCTCAGCATTCCTCCCCACGTATATCAGACTCGATGTGACCCTGATGATCAAAGCTAGGTCTCTCGCGCCCCGACCATAGGCGTCGAGCTAGCATGCAGTGTCGTTAAAGAGATGGCCGCCTCATTGTGCCGCCAAAAGCCCTTCGCCTCGTGCCACCCGTTGTGGACAAAACTCCCTTTGCATGCCCTGTGTGATGTTTAGTGCAAACCCTTTTCAATAAACGGCTCCCTCGGGCGATGAGTGAATGAAACTTGAGAGGAGAGATTCTTTTTCTGTTGTTCAATGAAGACGAGGTTTTGTGTTATGTGGTCTGTGCATGCGCCAAGACTTAGGCTGCATAAGCGTGTGTCCAGGATGTGCTCCTGACCACCCCACTCCTGACGTCTTTGATCAGATATCAAAAAGAACCGCATACGTTACTGTACCGGTATGATACCATAACCTATGGAAGCGGAAAGGAAGAAAAAATAGAAAGTCTTTCTCCTACTATCTGAGTTCGAGTACTTAGCAGCGTCGAAATGTTGTTTCGCGAGCCTAAATCCTTGAAAACAAGCCCGAGCGCGGGGTAGATCCGACTGGCTCGGTTGGGTTCAGTACCGTACCTTGCCTTCGAACTCCTGGGCGGTAGAGGAAAAGGTTTGACAAGAGAAGAAGCTCCGGGTGATTTTGCACGGAAGGGACGACCTTAATTGGCGCCTAAGGATTTATCACTTTCCATCGCGACTGCTCTTTGTAAGGTTTTCCAGTGTTTAGTTGTAGATACCTTATAAACCGCAGTTCGGCATACCTTGTACAATAAAGCGTAGTCTGAAAACATAGTAATAATGTAGGTTTTAAGAAACTACTAGTACTGGACTGCTTTTACTACATATTATATCATAATAACATTATTATATACTTCTCGCTTCCGTTGAGCGAGCCCAATTAGATCATAATACTCCAATTTAACCCTGAATTTCAGCAGGACAGAGGACTTATTCAAACATAGTGGAAAGTATAATAGGATAAAGTATGAAATTTAACATATAAGCATATGACCCACTGACCCATACCAAGATAAGTAGAAAATAGAGTATCATATGATGCATACAGTCTATAATGTCAACTAGCAGTATTTCAAAATATAATACCTTGTATAAAAATAGTCAGGGCTATTGCTTTAGGATTTTGGTATCATAATTGTACAATTCTATAACAATATCTTATTACTGCTCTACCTTTCTTAGATTTTTTGCAATTTTTTTTAATTTTAATATATATATATATATATAATAAAGCTAGAATTAAATAATAATTTGGTACTATCTCATAACATATTAAATACATACGCAGAGCATATTCACCCCTTATTAAATTTAAATACAATATATATACAGACTTATAAAGTATATATTAGAGAGGTGTAAATTGTATAAAATTATACAATGACTGTGTATATTATATAGATAAGAGATGTTACTAACATATATATCAGCAAAGAGAAAATCCTGCATCATATATATGAGCTGTATATTCTGATGTAAATATTTAGTTTCCAATATTACATAAAGTTAGTAAAGTATAAGGATAAAGATTCATCTAATTAACAGTTACTAAGTAATACCTCAAAAAGCCCCACCCCCTCGGTAAACTACCTCTTCACAACCATGTCTCCAGAAACCACAAGCTTTCTCCTGGACTTTGCGAAGGGGCAAATTGTTGCTCTGAGGGAAAAATATCTTTCTTTCTCTAAAATTGGACAGCTCTTACTTCATCATAAAAGTACTGTTAAAAGTTTTTACAACCACTATTAAAAGAGGTATAATATAGAAAAAACTTCCATTTACTGGAAGCCTTAAAATTATGAATTCCAGAACCTATCGCCACCTTGTCATAGAGTCTGAGGAGGCACACTGCTAGCCATTGTTAGAATTGAGTAATAAGATTATTCCGCTACCTCTGTTAAGACAGTTAAGAGGCCTTTGATATTATGTAATACAAAGTAGTAGATAGCTTGGAAAAAGGTATTTCTGAAGGAAAATATGCTATTATAAGGTTGGCTTATGTAAAAGAGTATAAGAATTAGACAAAAGAGAACTTTGAGGATGTCATCTTTAATGACTAATACATGGTTGAAATATTGAAAGATTATAAGAGTATTTGGATCTTCAGGCCACTAGAGGAAAAATGGTATGAGCACTGTATCCAAAGAATTACTAAAGGACCTAGAATAAAGTTGATGCTATAGTCTTGTATTTGAGGTAAAAATAAGGGTCCTCTGATTTCTATTTTTGACAAGAGTGTGAATAGATTTGTATATATTAGAGTTTTGGAGGATGGCTTAGTTGATGTGTGGCAGGAGGTGGATCCACAGTTGGAAATCCTATCTTTTAGCAGAATGGTAGAAAGATACATACTGCAAGAGACATTATGACTTGGTTTGCTGAAATCAATATACAGGTTATGGAATAACTACCCAATTCTCCAGACCTTAATCCTATTAAGTACTGTTGGAAAAGGGTAAAGGAAAAGCTACACTAATACTTTCCTAACATTTACAAGACTAAAGAGAGTATAGATACTATTAGGAGATCTCTAATAAAAACTCTTAATGTGGTTAAGACTCAGGATATTGAAGAAGAATTTGTGGAAAGGGTATAGAAGTCAATACGTAAGAGAGTGGCTGCTTTTTTAGATGCAAGAAGATGGTATACAAAGTATTGAACATTTTTCTTTGCAATTTCACATAAGGTTTTTCTTACATTCAATGGAGTACTATCTATATTTTCACTTCATTCAAAGATGTTGTCATTCTATAGGTAGTAAATATATAGTGATTGTGGGGTTACTGTTACCATGCCAGATGAATCCTTTTGTCTCAGTACCTTACAATATAAGGAAGTCTTAGAGATTACGGCATGCCATCGTGAAAGACAAGAATAAGTTTCTTATTATACAATTGTTTTTTACTTGTATTTCCCACTTGTTTCTGCTTACAACTGTATTGACTAATATTGTACGATTACTTAGTACATTACTCCTAGTAGTATCCTGCAGATGCCTATTTTAGCTAATATCCTACTAGCATCATTTTTTACTAGATTAGAAGCTAGTTGTTAGGTGGAGACAACTTGATAGACTTCAAGATTGTCTAGGCCAATCAAGATTCGTTTTTGTAGACCGAGATTGTCTAGGAAGGCTTGGACATGGCTCGTTTTGTTTATGACTACTAGGAGTGAAGTAAAGTAGGTAAAGTAGGGTAGAATCGTAAAAACAATATGACATTGTTAAGGTCTCTTCTCCGTTGCTTGATGATGTCTAAAGCTTGGGAGGTACTTCGATATTTATATTTTGCGTCTGAGTATTTGCGGACTACATCTATTTATCATACAACTATGTACTTCTTTAATTGTAATTCACAATGTCGAGTTTTCTTCCAAGGTGCGAACACCTGCGGACCCTGAAAACCATCACACCCTCTTTGGTAATTACGATATTTCTTCTTAAAAAACGTACAGTCTCCAATAGTAATATACTGGATTAGCAGAGTTTTTGGACCTATGGCCTAGTTCTTAAGTCGAACTGAGTTGGCTTCAAATGTCTTCGCCATTGATAAAATGAT